AAAATATTATTTTATGTATACTGAGAGTATTTACAAGACAAATTCCTTGTGTGTCCAATCATACTTGGCCAGTAAAGCATTCTATTCTATTCTATTCTTTGTGTATTTTGTGAGTTTTGTTAGTTCTTTAAATCAATAGTTAAATCCTAATTTTATTTTTCTACAGCTTGCAAAATTTGGAGTGCTAATAGAAATAACCTCCTTAATACATTTAAGAATTAGGCAAAAACAGAATCTGGATGAATCTGACTCAGTCACTCCAGTGGATTCAAAATAGTTTTTTTATTGTTGTTCAATCAGGTCCAATTCTCAGAGACTGCCTGCCATTGCCTTCGTCCTAGGGCTGAAAAAACTAAATGGCCAAAGGTCACTCAGCGGGTTCTGTGCCTAAGGGTAGGACTAGAACTCAGACTCTTGATTTCTAGCCTGATGCCTTAACAACTACACCAAACTGGCTCTCTAAAATGGGATACAAGTCTCCTAATTAAGATTCTACTGTGTGATATTGTTCAATGCTATGGGTCATCAGAAATTTAAAATAGCTTATGGGTTTTTGCAATCATGCAATTTTTTAATATTTATTTATATTTATTAAGGTTGAATTTTTGCAGATCCCATCTGAAACCCTCTCATTACTTACTAATCCCAAAGTCAACTGATTCAAATTGATCAACTGTTCAGATAGGAAACCCAATAAGTTACTAGGCTACAATTTATAGGAGACTTAAGAGAATACTATTTTTGACAGGAGGGACATTGTTATTGATCACTGCTTGAAAGTAAATAGCTATAGAAAAGAAACCTTTTGAAAATATGCTATAATAATAAACCATTATTAAAATAAATACCGTAAAAAAAGAGCTGAATGGCAGCTTGTCTACGGTATCCAAAAACAGAAGACAGGTGTAGCCATTTTTGACTAATAAATTTTACTTAAAAGCATGTGAATTAAGCTCATTTAATTAGAGGTAGTGGAATGGCTAGATTTGTGGGGTCTATGAATCCCAATATTTAAGCTATGATGGTTCCAATCCTTGGAATGGTGGGGCAGTTGAAGTTGCCAGATTTCTGTACTTTGACAACGCAGCCACTCTTTAACATCTAATGAAAGGGCACTAAGTTAGTAAAAAGCATGTATCCCTTAATAAAATATCTTGGTCACAATTGGTGCTACCAAACAAATTTAAAACAAATAGAAGTGCTACTAAAATGCATACAATTAATATCGATGCCAGTGTCAATTCAGCAATGTATAAAATGCCAATGTATTGAAATCAACAAACAAAATTAGTTATCTCATTATTGAAAAGCTTTGCAAACTTTACAAAAGAAAATTATACATTGCATTTTAGCTATGTTGTCATTTGAATGAATTTTGAATTTACTTTAGATGAAGAGGCAATACAGGTAATCCTTGACTTACAACCATTTGTTTAGTTGACCATTCAAAGTTATAACAGCACTGAAAAAGTGACTTACAACTTTTTCTCAGATTTACAACCAATGCAAGACACTTGGCAACTGGCATGTATTTTTGATGGTTGCAGTGTCCCAGGACCATGTGATTACCTTTTGTGACATTCTGACAAGCAAAATCAATAGAGAAGCCAGATTCACTTAACATCAGAACTAATCCTTCCATTCCCACACCATCCAGTTAGAACTGATGAAGCTTCTTTGATGAGAAGTGAAACGTCCTCATCAAGGAAAAAATAAAGTTCAGTTGCCTTTTGAAAAAGCACATTTGATGACTTTGGCCACACCGTTTAAAGAAAATTTATATAAATTGTTTTATAGATGGCATATGCCGCCATCAAAATTGGCTAAAATTTATCCAAATCTTTCCCCTGTATGTTGGAAGTGTAATAAGGAAAATGGAACGTATTATCATTTATGGTGGAATTGCAAACAAGCCCAAAAGTTTTGGCAGAAAATTCAGAAATGGTTAGAAGAGATGTGTAAGTTTAAAATAGAATACAGACGCAAATTTTTCTTGTTGGGAATTAATGTGGGAAAATATGACAAAGATATTATATACCTGATAATTCATGTAATCACAGCTGCAAGATTCGCACAACAGTGGAAATTTAAAGAAACTCCAAGTGAAATAGAATTAGGAAAATTTGGATGTGCGCAGAAATGGACAAATTGACAAAAGACCTAAAAAAATAAGGATGAATCGGATTATTATAAAGTATGGGATAAGTTTTACTGCTGGTTAGAAAAGAGGAAGGATCAAGAAAATAAGAAATGATTTTATGTATATATTATATGCTATGTATATAGAATATAAATATGTACTATTGTTACATGACCTTAGCAATGTAAGACAACTATGTGGGTTAGGATGATTGCACCAGGTCCATTGTTTTTAATGTCCTTTTCTTTCTTTTTTGTGTTTGTTCAATAAAATTATTTTTAAAAAACAAAAGCACAGTTGAAACTTAACAACTTCGTTACTAAGTAAACAACTGCAGAGATTAACTTAACTGTAGCAAAAAATGATGTAAAATGGGACAAAACTCACTTAACAACTGTCTTGCTTAGCCAACAGAAATTTAGGGCATGATTGTAAGTCAAGGACTACTTCTATGTACATTGTTGGGTATAGTTCATTAATTCCATTAATTCCAGGACCCTTAAAAGAGCCAGATTTGAAATCTCTTTGTCATGTGCAGTTACTTAAGGAACAAGGAAGCAGCAGTAGAAGCCCCTATTAATATATTTTTATATGTAGGATCTTTAAACTAGAGATGAATTTGACTAGTTTGATGAAAGTTGGTAAAAGTAAAATTTTGTTTAAGGTGAATTTATGCAAAGAACAGTAGAAAGTAGGTCTCACTATACATTTTACTAAATATTTAAAAGAAACTAGAAAAAAGCTTTCAGCAGTTTATTAAATTTAGAATTTTCACTGTAGTTTCCATAGTGAATGAAGCAAGTTGTATTTATGCAGCAAACCTTTCCAAAAACTATTTATGGTGCTGCTGGTCTCAATAAGTACGTACTCCAGGAATTTGAAATATAGGGCAGTAATCCTCTTTAGCTTCTATGTGTGATTGACAAGTACAAAACCCTGTTCCTAGACTTCAACAATCTATTATCTCCATGCCTTTTCTTGCATGGGGAAGTAGAAAAAAAACAACCTTATCATTCCAAATCCAGATTTTTTTTCTGACTTAACAATATTTTACAAATTACAAGCCATCTAATTATCACACTCCAATTCTGCAAATATGCTGCAACTAAAAGGCTAGAGAATATGTTAAATGGTAGAAAACCACACCACTCTACTATTTATTGTATAGAAAGATTTCATTGAAAAGTATATCAAGTTACATGTCCCAAGATTAAAAACTATTTTTCTACAGTTAATATAGCCATTTTATATTTTCAATTCTTACTTGCAAACACCCTATGGATGGCATAGATACAACTATTAAAACTGCTTATGCACATTGAAATCAATAGCCCTTTCTAGTCTTTATGTTATTTTTATCCACTGTCTCTTTATTTGAAAACTAAGACTTTTAACATAAAATTGTGTTCCAAGATTGTGTTCTAGTTGAGCTCTTATCCAACTGGTTATTTTGCTATAATTTCAATAAATGGTTTACCCTGACTCACAATTTTACTGCTATGCATCTTCACTTGTTTCTAACGTATTAGCAGTGTCAAAAAAGAATCACCAAGGGGCTACACTGTTTATTTTACTCCACATGGAATATAAGCCTCCACAATGAGTCCTACCCTCAATGAGGGCAGGTCAACATATGGAACCAATCCCAAATGTTCAGTATTTTTCTAAATTAGCAGCACATATTCCTCCCTCTGAAGCAAAGTCAAAAAGTGCCAAGAGTTGAGAAGGACTTGCAGATAGAATATACAATGCAGACAGAAAGATGCTTAGTTTGTAAACAGAGAAACGGATTAAGTATTGAAGGCACCGATTGCATCCAACCTTTCTTTGAAATATAATTTGATTATATTAACACTTCATTGGAAGTATTTTTTATAGTTTGTAATTGGTAAAAAGACCAATGGCTTCACCCCTATCATCTTTTAGTTTAAAAAAATGGAATAGGTATCTTAATAAAATCACCATTAACATTTTAATTAAATTAAAATTTTAACAAATTAACATTACAATAATTTTTGTAATGTTAAGATGTTGCCACAGCAGAAGAGGTCATTAAAAGGTAATATCTCTTAATAACTTCATAGATATGTCCATGTAATTTTCTTGGCAAGAATACAGAAGCAGTTACTGTTTCTTTACTCCATCCCCAATGAATTACTTTTGTTTACCTTAAACTTCTACTAAAGAAACACCATCACTTATTAACTATGTACCTCCTAGATCATCTACATAAACCAACAATTCCTTTATATCTCAAAAGTTTTCCCAAAGGAGAATATATTGTCAGTGCTTAATATACTTCCATTCCTTTTCTATTGAGAAACATTAAATACTATCAGTGCTACCAAGAAAGCCATATATTGGCTCAGTTTTGGTTCCTGAATTGAGTTATGAAATCATCTTAAACTCTTATCATGTTGCAAGCCACACAAAAACTACTTCATTTACCATTAAACAACAAAAATATTTATCAAAACATTTTATATAACAGAATCCAGTGCTACATTTCTGATTCACATTTTAAGGTACAAGGTTATAAGGCAAACCCCCCCCCCAACAATCTAATTCAGGTTTTTTGTTTACAACATAGAAAATAATTAGTCTGCTTTAATATTCCAGAAAAGCTATCAACTCACAACAATAAAAATAACCAACATGTTTTCCCATGATGTCTTATACTTCCAATACTGGAAGACTTAGATTACACAAACAGAAGTAAATGCAAAGGAACAACTTTTTTGTCTCCCCCATTCAAATGCATACCTGGCTTGCAGAGTGCTTTGTCACAGTAACTCCAGGACTAAATAGAACACAAGGACGGCCTTCTTAAGAATTTTCTTTTAAAAACATAAAAGGATACAGCCTTAAAGCGCCAGTTTGTGTTCCAATGGCAAGTATCTTCTGAACAGGATCAAAAGCCAAGGCTGAAGGCTGATAGGGGAAACCATGGCGTACAGTCTATCAAGTCAAGGTAGTGAAGCAGTGGTGATTCAGGCAACCAAAGAAAAATAAAAAGCCAATGTTTTAGGAAGAAATGACTTCATTTACTGTACAAAATATTTTTTTTAACTTGGGGGAAAATAGATTAGAATGCATTTGAATCTTACTGAACATACAGATAACAAAATAAAGTCTTTGCTTAAATAAATTCATTCACTTCTCACTTTACTATTTTTACAAACTCTTGCAGAAATTAAACAACTGTATTATAATCTGAGACAGACTGAGAAATTTGACCATGCAGCCATTCCTGTAAATTAAGTGTTCACTAATTATTAAAATAGCTCTTCGGAGAGTTATCTCTATTTCTCTGAAGGCCTTAAATGACACAAAAGTTAAAAACACACATAGGCACTTCTGCATTTAATGCATTACAATGGCCACCAATGCTTCCCCTTTTTATTTTTTAACAATTAGAGGTATACTTAACCTGTGTGTGAGGTAATGAGCAAGCAGCACAGGCAAAGCCAGTTAAACCAAAATGTTTTTTATCTTAAGGATCCATCCTAACCCATTATTTAGATAATGTATTCAATCCACAAGCTGATCTACAGCAGTTTAGGCCACAGGTGTCTAAAGGTGGAGAGGAACATCCACTTCCTTTTGTGTTTCAATTTGGCACAGCTGGTGAATTAATCTGCTGCATCACCGTTTTGGAATTTAAGGCTCCAACTGCATTTACTGCATCCCATTGGAAAAGAAATATCCCTTCCTATTAGTATTACTTCTTCCTCCATCCCCAAAACGAAGAATTATTCCCTCTATTTAGAGAGCCACATTTACAGAAGACCTGGGTTTGCTGGTAATGCAGAGCATTTAGTACTCTGTCCTCTGATCGCATCAGTGGCATTTTAATTGTGTTCAACAGCAAAGCACACATTTAGAGGCTTCCCTCCAAGCATCTTAGATATACATGTACATATCTGCGGCTTAAAATTCAAGTGATAAATTGCCATTCAGGGGAAGATGCTTGTCAATAAAAGCCGAGGGTCCCTCATAACGTCATCCTCGCGGTTGCTCCTCTTCCCCCACCCACAAATTTAAAAAACAAAAAAACAAAACCCACACACATTAAATTGACAGCTTTAAAAGCACCGGAGTCCAGAGTCTGCAGAACCCATCATGGCTACATCATCCTCTGCTCTCCCCCCCCCCCCCCCCCCATTTCTTCCCAACCGGCTGCAGCATTCACCTTGCAGAGCTGGAAGTGCTCGGACTGGAGGGTCTCCTGGATGTCGTTCTCCCGGGTTGCAGACTGCTGCTGCTGCGAGGAGGAGGAAGCTGAAGAGGAGGACGACGAGCCCGCCAGGCCGTCCAACACCTTTCTGATGTTAAATTTCCTCATGGTCTCTCCGGCGGCGCACCCTTTTCTTCTTCCTCCCCCCCCTCCTCCTCCTCCCCCTCTCCACCCCCCTCTTGCCGTGGCTCCTACTCCCGCCCGGCCACACACCTCATCCAGACGAGCGGAGAAAGGGAAGGAGCAGGCGGGCAGGGCGAAGGGTCCCGCTGCAAAGGGAGGGGAAAGCAAAGGGAAGGACGCCTCGAAGTCTCGGCTTTTTTCTCCTCCTGCTTTGCCTTCTTCACCCAACCATTATCATTCCCCCCTCCTCCCTCCTCGGTCTGGGCACAGGGTGGGAAGACAAGGCGCGAGGGGGAAAGAGGTTGCTCAAGGCGGCAGACGCGGACGAAGGGGGCAGAGCAGTCACCCTTATCAGCTGAGGGAGGGAGTGGACCTGACCAAGGAAGAGGAAAGCGCCGAACAGGAAGAGAAAAGGAAGGAGGGGAGCGCACGAAGTAAATAAATCTAGCAGCGAGATTAACGTAGCGCGGCGGCTTCTTTCGGCGGCTCGCCACGCCAGCGCGCTTCCACGCCACACTCAGGCGAGCAGCTCGCCTCTGGCAGGCGGCTCTGCCCCGACCCCCACCCACCTCCACCCCGGGCGCCCTCTAGATTCCGGGAAGGCCGCTTCGACCGTCTTTCGCAGGCTGCCCCTCTGCCTGTCTCGCCTGCGCCTCCTTTCCCGCACAAACCCCTAAGCCCCGGCCCTCTTTTTGCACCGACTCTCCTCGCCCACCCCTCCCGCTCTTTGCTACTACCGCTGCGCGGCGAGGGGAGCCCGAGCCTGCCTCTGCCCCCCCCCTCCTCCTCTTCCTCGTGCGGCTGCGAGCCTAGAAGTGACAGCGACGGCCGCCTCAACTTCCCACCCCTTTTCACTTAAAGGGAGTAGAAGCGGCTGTCCATCATCTCGCCGGGTGTCCACCACAGTTTTTTTCCCCTCTCTTTCTCTCTTTCTCGCTCCCCGGCGCAGCTGCAATTCCCCGCCGCCCGGTAGTTGCGCTGGCAGGCTGGCTGGCTACCCTGCCTCGCCGGCAACGCTGCCCCTCAACGCGACTCCTGCTCCGGGAGTGTCGCCAGCGGCGCTTCCTGGGGACTTTGCTGCCGCCGGCTGTCACACGCCCCCACAACCATCCTCCTGCAAAGGCTATGCCGGCAGCTGCTGCTGCTGCTGCCGCCGCCTTCTCCTCGCCTGACAATACAGAAAGGCGACCCCCACCGTGAAGCGGCGGCGGCAACACCGTCTTCCTCCTTCCCCACCACCCCTGTGGTAGCTATCGCTGTTGTCTCCTTTAAACTGCTGGTAGTGGCAAAAGCAGAAACGACCGAGGTGGAGCATGCGCCGTCCAAGGCCTTCCTGCAAGCACCCGGATGTTGCCGTCTTTTCTTGTTATGGGGGCGGGGGGAGGGTCCTAACGGCCTTCCTAGAAGGCGTGCAGAGGGGTTTCGGGGCGCATTGCTTTCTTGGGCGCCCGGGCTAGGGGTGGAATTAAAGCCCTTTTTGAATGCAGACGTGTGCGCGCCGGGACAAAAGCGCGCCTTGAAAGGGCTGAGCGGGCGAGTGACGGTCTCCGGGCCAAGCTTCGGGTAGCTTCCTGGAGGAAACTTGCAAGGGGCTGCAGCCCAATTCCCGCCTTGCCTCAAGGAAGCGCGGTGGGATGTGCGTCAGAGTTTTTTTTTTAAGGGGGGGGGGTCGTCGGAGGGCAATTCTTTGGCTAGGTTCCCGCTGACCCACGAGCATTCTGGACCGCGTCCGTCTGACGCCAGGGATGCAGGCACACAGAGCCTGGTGATGGGGCTGGTGGGACATCCCTGCTGGTTTGCAAGGCGGCATGGCCCAGGTGAGGACGGAGCGCCAGTGCGCCTCCGTTCAGGTTGAGGCAGTAAGAGGGAAATTCTGCTGCTCTCTCCAAAAGTTGAAGCGCTCCCGAGGTGACTTGGATGGCCGTTCCCCGTGGGGACCAAATGATTAAAATAGACGACGTGGTTAGCTTTCTTTGTTTGTTTACTTCTTTGGAGTCCTCTCTTCCGCGTGGAAAAAAAGGGCAGCTGTATTGCAGGAAGCGATGGAGGGATGGGGTGGGGGAATAAAAGATGGTGCTGATACAGGGCAGAAGCTTTTTCATTCATGGAGCAGTAAAAGCAGAGTAAGAGGCAGATTAGGACAGGCCAGTCTTGGACAGGAATGACCTCGGCTCAAAATGTCTGTAACCACCGAGCTTATGCTTTCCAGAGGGACTTTGGATATTTTTAGAACTGAGGTGTTTTGTTCCTGGTTTCCGTTAATTTTAAAAAAAAGTAAACAGGAGATAGCCATAATGGATTTCTCTTCAGATTTCTGTGATGTATCTTAGAAGTGCCTTCAAGTTTCTAGTGAAATTATTAGATCAGTTTAAGGCTAGCTTATATGGAAATGGTTGTGTTTGAACAAATTTTTATCCCACCACATCTAAATAGTCTTTTAAATCAAAAGCAAATGTAAAGCGTAAAATAAAATAGGGGAAAATAGTATCATAAAATAAGCATGAAATCATTAAAACTAATTCAGAAACTTATTTTAATTAAAACAGTTGTATTAGTTACCTTAAGACTTCTTGTTTCAGACCCAGAAATTTAACAGGTATTATAAATTAAGTCTTTAATCCTATGGAAACTTACTCCAAGGTAAGTGAATGTAGTGTGTTTTGAGCATGAGCATAGCAGATTTAAACTTTGCAAGCCCAGTTAAAGTAAATATCCATAAGCATTGTTAGCCTCTTTCTGTCTCTCGCTTTGTTGTACATATCTGAGCAGATCAGCAGTCATTTTTCATTTCCCAAAATACAACTAAGTTAACTGTTAAACTGTTATATCTCATGAAACTGAATAAGCCTGGCCTGTTTTACATCAAAATGGAATGGAATTAAAGAGAAAATATATAGTATTGTATCTTGACCTAAAGCTGGTAGCACCTAATCTAACCTAGCTGAACTTGAAAAATAGTATTCGGGATTGAATTAAGAAAATACAGGACTGTAGACTGGATTGAGAACTTAAGTAAACATCTAGAAATAAGGGAAATTGATACCTGTATTACTGCCAAGAACAATTCATAGTCATGAACATGTAACCACCAGGAATCAGTTTGATGGAAGTCAGTTTGATCTTTTTATTCTGATATTGAGGATAATATAGACGGTTCCACTAAAATTTTAGCTATCGGAAGCATTTTTCACTGGTCCATTTAAAAACAGTGTAAAATTTTAAAAGTCTGATATAGCAAAGAAAAAGACAAATCCTCCTTGCTTACATGTTTCAGCTGGGAATACACATGTATACCAAAATGACCTAAATGATTCTGGGCCTAAGGCAGAACTAGAATTCACAGTATCCCAGTTTCTAGTCTGGTGCCTTAATTACTATACTAAACTGGCTCCCAGAAATATTTTGCCCCTTCATTGTGCTGTGCAGCATTAAGATTCTATTCCTATTCCTGTATGCTTAGCCTGCTATGAGAGAGATGAGTATTCAGTTTTTTGAACATCAAAGCAAAGTATGTTTGAAGTTAGATCCTATTTATATTGATTGCTGCAAAACTGACTTTAAAAGCATTAGACTTGTAACTTTTGGAGATAACTGAATTTGGAAGACACATTTTAGAATTTAAAAAACTTAAGACTTTTACATCAAAATCCAGTTTTTGATATAAAACTAAGACTAGCCATACATAAATCATGTCTGCTGAACCAATATTTCATTCTTGAGACAATCATACTTAAATCACAACATAAAATTAGAAAATAAAATAAAAGGTTATTTGTATTTTTTCTAAATAATTGTGTCTAATTAGCCCACAACTTATAAAAATGACAAACTTTAACATTTAATTAAAAAAACAACCTACATAATTCTGAAATTTTATTTTGGCATATTTATGTATTCATTTTATGTAATTGGATTAAAGAAGCAAAACGATTCAAAGGAAAAAAAGTATGTCAGAGGATGTTGGAATGCTCATAGATATTTGTTGACAACTTTTTAAAGCAGTTGCATCTTTTCTCTGAATCATGCAGCTGTGCTCTACAGCTGCAGCACAATCCTGTGAAAACGTATTTTCTAGATGCCAACTGGACTTGCTTGTATGCTCATCTTGATCCAAACTATCTTTTCTCCTTTAAATATAATATGCTATAAATTCTATATAATAGCATTAAATTGCTCAGGTTTGGCAAGGTAATGCCTGTAATGCCTATTGTTTTGGATTTATTATGCTTTAGATTTTATGCTGTATTGTTATGCTTTAAATATACAACTTTTGGAGAATATTATCAAAATCTTAGAAATGTAAATAAATAAGGTACTAAATAGTGGTTGTCCGTATCTCTGTACATTAGAGGATATAAAGCACATTCTACAGTATGTAAACCTTGAGATCTATTTATATTATAGATATTAAACATAATGTTCAATGGATATTTGGTCATACCTCAATTATTGGAGCTTGGAACAAATTTTGTTGATTTCTACCCATGCCATCACCAGATTTTGTTTTAGAGAGGAGATTTATGTACCAAGCTTGTCCACAAGTGAAATATATGGTTACAGCAATAAATGAAAATAAATTTAATATGCTTCATGAAATATAAACCATTGCCATATGCTTTATTAAAAGATGTTGCAACAAGGTTTTATATAATATCTATAATCAATATGCCATGAAAATGTCAAAAGCAGTATGTTCATAACCACATACTGAATATCATGTGCCTTGAAAAACTTAGAAGCCACTGCAATGAAAGTGGATTACTATTATCTATATGAAGTATTAGAGTCTGAGTTTACATAAGAATTGTGGGCTTTTTGAGGATTATGTGAAAAGGGACGGCAAAGAAGGTGGTATTGCTATGACAAGAACATAACTGCCAGAGTAGAAACACTGAATGTTACTTCCTGGCACTCTGTAGAAGGCAGAAGGAAAAAATTGAGTATGACGCACCTTAGTGTTGTCAGACAAGCTGATAAAGAATACTGTCAGACACATACTTTTTTCTAAGGGGATTGCAGATGATGGAGGCAAGCAGTGGTCACTTGACTAATCAAACAGTGGCTGCAACTACAGTTGTGACAGCACAAGCCATTCTGTTTGTCTTCAAAGATACAGAGTTAGTGTAGAGTCAGATTGCTACATCTATTCTGATTACCAATTGTAATCCACAACAATTTAAGGGAAGCAAGCAGGAAAATAATTTCACACTTGTGGAGGTTTTGATTTCTGAAATCAAGCCTACATTGGTTTTAAATTTTGTTCATGTTCCCTTATGTATTTCAAAAGGACAATGTTACATTAAATCCCACATAATTCAAACCTTTCATTCCTGCCATATGGGAAAGTTCTTGGAGATAATTATTTCACTTTCTTCACTATAAAGATAGACATTGATCTGAGAGACAGGGACAGATAGGCATGGAGAGAAGAAGGTGGCTGAGTGCCTATTGTCAAAATGAGCCTGAAGGATGATTGGTCTGAGCATTCTAAATCCATGTTAATTTTTTTCTACTTGATTTTGCATTTATATCACTCTGAACAGTTTAGCATACCATGGTAATGTCTTTTACCCCCCTCACCTGAACATACAGTTGTTTTATAGCAGCTGTGTTCAAAGCAGCATGGGCCAGCGTATTTGGAACACAATATTATGTTTCCTCTTTTTCTTTTCCCTAATTTATTTCTCATTTTGTGTTTTTTCTTTCTTCTTCAGGATTTTAGCTTGGTTTCCTTTGGAGTAAATTCCCTGAGATTTGTTTCTGGTCATTCTTGTAATTGTATCATTGTCTAAAGGACTAATTTTTTTTTTCTTATTCAAATCTTCTTTTGACCATTGCAAGGACTTAATTAATTTCTTTCTTACAGTCTAAAAATGTTTCATCGGGTTGCTGCTCTGTCTTCTACCACATATCAGCGTTGGCCAGCTTAGAATTAATGAGGACAACTTCTTCCAAAGAATATCTGCTTCTTTTTCTTTTACCAATAAAAGAAAATTGCTTTTTCTGCCTCCATCTAAATATAATTTAATATTTTGTTTAACATATACTACCACTTTTTCCTTACTGCAAATTTTCTATAAACACACTGTTTAGAAATAATTAGCAATGGTCTTAACAGGTTATTCTTGTCAAATTAATGTGTTAGTTTTGCATATTGATACCTAGGCATATGAAATCTCATTGAACTCAAAGATGGGCTTTTATTTTGAGTAGGCACGAGTAATGCATATATAATAAAATGATACATGTTTGCTAGAATACTGTAAATGATTTGAATTTAATTAAACTA